AGAAAACAGGATTGTGAATTCATTTCTTAACATTGCTAATCAGGGGACAGTGATGAGAATATGAAAAGGCCTGGCTCTTTGAGTTTAAGGTTCATCCAAATCTCTTTCCAAAGGGTAAAGAAATAACATTAAACTTCATTATTATATACTAAGTATTTGCAAATCTCATTTTTGAATCTCAATGTGTTTATATTTCTCTTGCTATTTGACTCAGAGTAGGTAGAGGTATTGACAAGACAATAAGGTGAAGACAATTATTCACTCCATCTTTGCCATTTACTTTGAACCCAATATGTGCCATACAATGGAAAGGGTGTTGAAAGGTAAACATGTCAAAAGAGGTGATACATACATAGCACTGTATGTAAAGCACAGGCAGAACAGCTGAGATGGGGGTTCAGAAGGACTGCTCCTCAGTAACTAGCCAAGATTAACCACAAAGAAAGTCTTACAGAGATCTTTAACACTGATTTTCTTTTTTCAGAATTTCCCCATTTCTAAATCCTACATGCTGCCCATTTTCACTGATTCCTCTTTCATAGACTTCACTTACAATTGATAAAGCTTGTTAGTTTAAAGCATACATTTCAGTTTGGCCTAGCATCCAGTCTGTATACATGAGAGACTTCATTTGTGAAAAATGTTATTTGCCAGTGTCCTACAAGTGACAGAAAACTGACAGAAAAATGCAAGCTAGAATTTTGTTGATATAAATCATACTCAACCTAGGATATTATTTTCCAAGTTATCATCAGATAATGAGTATTCATTTATATTTTATAAATAAGTTTAGTTTTTAAGACACATAGTAATATTGGATCTTATGTAAATTTAAGATAACATGTAATGTCAGATGGTTATTGTGAAGTGACAAAGAAAACCAAATCAGTGAAACTTTCACATGTTACTCTATTATTATCATTGCATAATTTTATTTCTCAAGAACTTTATTACTCTGCTTTCATTTGTATGTGTTAAGCATGTGAAACCCTTAACAATACACAGGATTTTGGTAGAGGCAGAGTCTGTCATAAGGTGAGTCACCAGTCTAAGTTCCTGTGTATAATCAATAGTCATCAATAGCATGTTAAAATTTCCTGTCCCACTTCGAAGTACTGTTTGACCACAGAATTAAATTAAGGAATAATTAGATATAGCAAAGAGAGCAAGTGTATCATTTTAGAGTATACACCGGATAACATTTTTAGAATAGGCACTTTCATTCTTTTCAAGGGGTAGAATTTGATTACAATAGGGAAAAATACAGTGGAAGGGACATGTATATTAAAAAATATAATTTCAGTTATGTCATTCTAATTTTTCCTTTCTCTCCCCATCTTCTCTTCTCTCCACTCTTCTCCCCCCACTTTCTACCTTTTGCTCTCCCCTCTTCTCTTCTGTGATTTTCTTACTTTATTGGGTGACTACTATATGAAAGATATTGCATTAAATTATAGGAATATACTTGCTATTCAACTTTCAGTCAATTATTTCCTAGTGTTTTTCTTTATCTGAAACTAAGAATAATAAGCCTTTACTAGACATTTCTAGAAATGAGAAAGGTTTTTTTTAAGATTTTATTTATTTATTTTTAGAGAGGGAAGAGAGGGAGGTAGAGAGAGAGAGAGAAACATTAATGTGCAGTTGCTGGGGGTCATGGCCTGCAACCCAGGCATGTACCCTGACTGGGAATCGAACCTGTGACACTTTGGTTCACAGCCCTTGCTCAATCCACTGAGCTACGCGCCAGCCAGGGCAAAATGAGAAAGTTTATATACAGTGGTCTCTTGGTACCTGCACTGGATTGATTCCAGCCCCTTCTCCACAACCAGGATACCAAGATCCAAGGATGCAGAAGTCCCTTATATAAAATGGGTTACATATGCATATAACTGAGATAGCATATAGGCCACAGTGGGATATGCCTATGCATCATTTGCATGAATTCAGCACAGTGCTCAGGGCATGGCAAATTCAAGTTTTGCTTTTTTGGAACTTTCTGTTTTGTTTTTTTTCCTTGAATATTTTTCCTCTGTGGTTGGTTGAATACATGGATGCAAAACCCTTGAATATAGAGGTTCAAATGGAAACAATATAAATCATTGACAACTGTTACCTAGATACTGATTTCAGGCTTTTCTGCTTCCTGGGTCTCATGATTCAATAATTCTGATATTGCAGTTAGTGTAAAAATAAGTGAAGTGCTGTAAAATGTCACTCCTTGATAGCAGTGTGATGTGAATGTGAAGAAATTATTATATACAAGATATGTATCTCATTTAAATTTGATTAAAAGAAGTAACTGAGAACTAAATTAGTACTGTCATTAGGATAAGTTTTGTGATTCTTGAAGGACACAGCAAATGTCTTCAGGGATCCTCAAACTACTGTGACATATAGTCAATTGGGAGAAAGCAAGTTAATTACTGCCCAGTGGACATCAACCTTTGGCCAGCTGTTCACAGTGCCACGGTAGAGGTCATGGGGGAGCTGCTTCCTGCCCTCGAACTGCTATCTGAAACTTCCAGGGGCATCGGTTCAGCTACTGTATGGCAAAGAAATACTTTAGGGTTTTTTCTTTAAATGTGAAACAATAAAAACTCATGATTATGACTTCATTCCTTTTTACAAAAAATTATAAAGAAAATTCTTGGGAAATAAGCTATCATTAAATGGAAGAGAGTAAAAATTACCTCAGAAATCACAGCAGTCATTACTAAAAAGTAGTGGAGAAAACGTACAAGGATCACTTACAGGAGTTATATTAGCTAGGAAAAGTGAGTTAATTTCAGTTTGGGGAACAGAAACAAGTTTAGATCCATAAACATTTTATGAAGCCATTTTGTTACTCCTGATTTATAGTTAAGTCATGAAAACCAAACTGAGTTTTCTCTACTATGAAAGCTGGAGGCAAATTTGGCATAAAGCCTAGGAGAATAGAATACTAGAGTGTTCTTTTAGCTCCCTCTCTGAAAAGTGGTTTCTGTGTATGTGTTGCAGAAATATAATATTGCTTCTGTCATTCTCAGGGACTAAACAAGTTTTTTTTAAAAAAAATTTAATCAGTGATGTTGAATAAGTCAAGTAATAATTGAACTTTCTTATGTCATTTCTCCCAAACATACCTAATTCTATAAGATCTGTCATTGAAAGTTAAGAATTAAGTCATTAAAATCAAATAATCTATCCATCTCCTAATTCCAATCATTAAGGTATTAATAATATATATGAAAGCTACATTTTATATTTGCAACATCATCATCATCATCAACAACAACAACAAAATTCCTGTGTAACTGATATCCTTTTTATTTCTAGGCAGAGAAGAAGTTGTCAAATGCTCATTAGAATTAAAATTGCTAATTTTCAATTCACATGATTTTGGTCCTTATTGTGGTGGTGAGGCGATGTTGGTCAGAGTCAGACCATGTCAGTAACTATCCAATGACAAAACCAAATGACATCAAAGTATATTTATAGCTTGTTAACTTTTTGTATGTCTTAAGTAGACAAGTATAATTAAAAGACAAAAGAAAAATGTCAATGTAATGTCCATATGTCATTGGAATCTTGGCCTTTGTTGGTATAATTTTGCTAGAAATGTGCATGTTGGGATTTTGTTTTTATTGAATTTCCCAAACTTTTCACATGTTTCCAGTATATTGCTGGCTGGGCCAGCCATCCTGAATACATTGGTAGCATCATCATAATTTGCAGTATAATTATTGATTATAATAAAAAGACAAGAATTATGATTAAAAGCTCCAAGAGTCAATATCTTAATGCTATTTTGCTAAGACATATAAAATATAAAGTGAGTTTGAATCTTTCACATACAAGGGAGGAAGGCAGCTGGTTATTTTACAAAATGACAGAAAAAACAATTTGTGATTACAATAATACCATTGATAATCCATGAACTGATTTACTAAACTTTAAAATTGCATCTTAAAATGTTCCACATCCTATATTTTGTTTCTCTCATTGATAGAATACAGCTTTGGTCAGGTTGTTATTTTTAGGGAGAACATCACATTAATTTTCTTTCTCAAAAATTTCTTTCAAATTTGCTACTTTCTGGCTTTTCCTTAAATCATTTTTATTTTATGAAATGAAATTTTAGTTAAATCTTTATAAACTCACCAGATATGGAATTACTTTTTCTGTTAATAACACTCAGTTTTAAATGATCTTTTCTGGCCAATTCTAAGTGGCAATAGTAACTTAAGTTCATCCTTGTTTTATTCTTGAGTTACAAGTTTGGGACCTGAAGCTCTAGTTTCTATCTATGTTTAAACTCTCCCTATTTGTCTTTCATGGCCTGGCTTATTTCACTTAGCATAATGCTTTCCAGTTCCATCCAGCTGTCACAAAGGGTAGGAGCTCCTTCTTTCTCTCTGCTGCATAGAATTCCATTGTGTAAATGTACCAGAGTTTTTTGATCCATTCATTTACTGATGGGCTAATACCATATGATCTCACCTTTAACAGGAACCTAATCAACAAAACAAAGAAACAAGCAAAATATAACCAAAGACACTGAAATAGAGAATGGGCTGACAGTGACCAGAGGGGAGATGGGAGGAAATTTCAGGGGAAAAAGGGAAGGGTTTTCAGGAACAAGTTATAAAGGACACATGGAGAGAAACTTGGGGGTGGAAATGGGAGGGAGTTGGGGAGGAGTGTGGCGGTGGTCTGGGATGGGAGTAAAAGGCAGAAAACTGTACTTGAACAACAATTAAAATAAAAAAAATTTCCTTAAAGAAGAGGCAGCACTGTGCTAGCTGGGTGTTTAGGTTACAGATCCTTCCTCCACTTCCCTTATACCATTTCAAAGTACTGGGTATCATAAATGTCATTCCTGCCTTTTAAAAAAGCCACTTGCATTTCTTTCAACAATATATTTTAGAAATACTTATTTTTGTATTGTAGATCTATCAACTGTGAGCACAATTCTACTGCTACATATTGTGGCAGAAAATTTCACCTGAAATACCTACCAGCAGGAATCCTGGGGGGCAGTGATCCTTCCCCTGGCACTGGATTCGGAGCCTGGATGCTATTTAAAAACCCTGCCCTCAGGAAGCTGGGGCAAAATGTCTCCACCCCAATGGCCGGAAAGGATCCTTTTAAGAGATAAAAATTGGCATTAATCAAAGTCTCCTTTCTGAAAAAGTTGGTTATCATTTCATTGGAATAGAACCTACAATCAACAAAGACATCAAACCTTACAAGGAAGTTATGAAATTAAAAGGAACAGAATGCATTTTCATTCATAAATTGTTAAAATCAATCTAGTTTTTGTGAAAAGTACTTTAGTTACAATTAAAGAGAGTTCAGAAGCATGAGAATGCTAAGATAAAATTTCTAAATGTACATTTGACAAAGGCGATGCACATGCTTAAGTTACTGATGCTGTCTGTTTGCAGAATTCATGTCCACATGAGTTGTAGATATGCAGAAAATTGCCCCAAAAGTATCTGAAATCAATGCTGCACTAGAAAAAACAGTGCTTTATTTTAGGTATATTAGTATTAGTGCTTAAAATGAGAAAAAAACTTTTGTACTTTATGTAACAGCATGTTTTTGAAAAAGTGGGAAGAAAAACAACATACCCTGTTCTTAATTTGATACTTTTCTATTTGGGACAAGACACAAGAGTTTGCAATGGTAGAACCACATGCTTTTCCATTTTTAAGAAGCAGTTGCAAAGCAAAACAACAAACAAATTACTTGGAAATTTATCTATAAAATTATATAATGAATCATAAAATGAAGGAATGTCAGAGCAAAAAACAACAAACAAAAAATGACTTTAGAGATCATCCAGTCAAAAAAATCTCACTTTGCAGATCAGTAAAGTGAGACCTGTAGAGGGAATGTGATATCACGTAGCTGACAGACTTCCAGGATACACTTTTTCCCACTAGAGATTAAAAATAAATAATGAGCCACTTCCTGTTTGGGAGATTGCTCTTTTCTGAATATAAATTAGAAACCCTGCACTTTGGGATTGTAGTAGCATTATTATTTTGGTTTTTCAATGACCTTAAAGTCACACAAATAATTCAGAAGAAAATTTAATATATATGCAGTATCAGGACATGGGCAGCACTGGTAATTGATATGGTAGATATAAGTTTAAATCAAAATAATGCACTAAAAGCAAGTTACACTGATTGTTGTGAGACAAGCGTCTTCTCTGGGCCCTCTGAAACCCCCTCGGGGCAGCAGTTTTCATGGGTAAACACCTAAGATCTCTCCTCCCATGCTCAGATTTAGCAAGTCCTTTAGTTTGGAAGAGACTTCACTGTTTCTTGACACAAATTTTACACCTAGAATAAGTTGAAATGTGTGTCTTCTTTGAACTTTGTCTAGGATTAAAGGGATCTGGTATACCATACTCTATATATCTGGTTTCTATGAAGATACTTGTTACTAAAGAGAGGCTTGCATTTCTTAGATCTTCAGAGGTGTTTTTATGAAAGAGCAAAGTTACAAAGAATGTTTTAATAGGCGAGTTCTATGCATTGTACGTTGGATTAAAGACACCATTGAAAGAAAACACTGTCCTGTAAACAAACTGGTTTTGTTGTTGATTTCATGGGGTTTAGTGAAATTATCCAGCAGGGCTGATGTTCCTTAAACATTAAGAGGTGTAGCAAAAGTGCCAAGTCCTAGGCCAGAAATTGCTCTGGGGTAACTTTTGATGAATAGTGAAACTAATTTCTTCATTGTTACTGCATGGGGCATTTATCACTCAGCTCAAAGCTGATCTGTGTTCATATGCAATGCTTCATCACTGTCTGAGAAAATGCCCATAATGAAGGCACTGCACTGAATACCAGGTGGAGATAATTATATCATATATTTGTACAGCATTCTTATTTAAAGTTACAAAAGAAATGGTGATTTTTCAACAGGGAAAATAATTACAGGAAATTCAAATTTTATTATATGCTGTGAAAAGCAAAAATAATCCAATTTTAGCTGATTATGGATTTATTGAAGCCAAGTAATAGGGAGCCTAGTTAAAAATACTAAATCACACAGAAAAAAATAACATAATTATGCACAGGAAGCCAAAAAGGATATAAATGTAATTATCTTAAAGGAAATTTGAGGAAAAACAAAAGCATGTAGAGCAGTGACTCCAAATAATGTTAATATGCTTTATATTTAGAGATGTTTATTTGAGTTTTTGCTATTTTTGCCAACATTATTCCAAACTGTTAACTTAGAAAAGATTTTTATTTTAACTCCTTGAAAGAAACTAAATACAAACATAATTTTATTGCCATAATTACACCAATTATTTTCTTTGTGGTTGTGACAGCCTGTCAGATTTAATAGCAGCTTTCATTTTCATAAAATTGCTGCATCATTTATAATGGCTTTGCTATGTTTCTTTACCCTGGGTTAAAAGATCTTTTATTTGCCATGGCATACCTTCCTTAAGGAACTGTCATTAAAAAAATATCTGAAACAAATCAACATACAAACAGAGAAACTGCTATACATGCATATATATTTAGTTGAGACATCATATTATGTGATAATAATGTCTCATCATTTTTCTCCTTAAGGTCAGTCATGTTGATAGAGATTATATGAAACACCACAGTTCTAAGTTTTCACAATTCAATCAGGAAAACTGAGATTATTCTTTGTTATAATTCCCTTATTTTTTATTCTATAAGAAATTAAATTCACAATTTTTTTATATTTGATATGAACTATTTTGAATCTGGGTTGCCCTATTGCTTAAGTTGCTGACTCTCTTTGGCTTTTTTCTTAAGTAATTATGGAATTAATTAATCAATTATACTATAGCTGGAGAATAAATGAATTGTCTGAAGAATATAGATAATGTCTAATATCTGTAGCAGGAGAAATATAAATTTTCATGAGTATTTTGGTTTTAGTTACATTCAGTGGACTAATTATTTGTTAACATAAATTAAATTTTTATATCATGAGAGTGTTCTTCTAGCCATTACAAGCTTAAAATATAAGATGTGTCACTTAACACATTTTTCTAAATCTCAGATACTTGAGTTTCCAGTTTGCTAGTGATCTTGACTTAGTGGGTTAAAGAGAGACCAGAATGTGACATTAGCTTTGCATTATTTCTGATACAGAGTTACAAGATAACTGGGCTTCCCAAAATTTTATTTGTTACTCTGGCAATCCTACTCTGATAAAATTTCAAGCAGTTACATATAGCAGATGGACAATAGACACTATTAACTACTGGTGTAAGGTAATTTGATGTAAGACATTGGTGGCATGGGCCAGTGATTTATCTGTCTTTCATTAGCTCAGTGGCTCTTAATGGTCCTTAGGGAGCACTGCAAATTGCGGTGGGGAAAGGCATTACCACTGTTCAGTGGGTAAAGGCCATGATGGATGCTAAAGGCATTGCAATAAGTGGTATCTTACCTGCACAAAGGAGAATTTTCTCTAAAAATGCTAGTAACACCTCCTGAGAAAAATTGTATGGGAGTAAAGAATCTTAGAAAAAGTAATTGCTAGTCCATTGGTCATATCATGAGACCACAATGTGAAAAAGTAGAAGTTGATGTGGCTTGTATTCTCAAATCTGTCTGGATCAGTGAATGATGGACACTGGTTAATCAGATTATCAGAAAATAATCTGGCCTGTAGAGTAAACAGTTTTCAAAGAATTATAATGAAATGTATTTAACACAAACTATGAATCAAAATTCCATTTCAAATTTGGTATTGCAGCAATCTCCTTGAAATAACTTTACACTGGAAGTTAGGTATCATTTAGAATTTGTGTAAAGAAGACAAACTATGAGCTCATGTCAATTTCCTCATCAGTAAAATGAAAATAGCAACTGACCCTACCTCATGGGACTGTTTGTGAGAATTAAATGAAAGTAAATGATTATAAGTATATGACAATATTATTAACTAATGATAATTAAAAACATAACCCATTTAGGTGAGAAATTGAGATAAAGATTGATTAGATCTTCTAATGCAAAATGACCCTACTTATGTAAAAACACAAATCCCTAATAGAAAAAAACCCCCTTCTTTGAAGATGATGTATCAATAATTTAATTTTGATGCCAAAAAGTTTAACATAGGCAATATCCTTATAATATGAACCTTTAAGATAGGACTCTTTCTAATTGTTTGCATTAGGTTGTATTTTTGCAGATACTCATTTTGATCTATTTAAGAACAAAGAATACACAGACATATGAAAACAAACAATTTAGAATGGGAAACAAAGTACGTGCACACATGTATGTATGTTAAATATAGAAAGATACTTTGGGGCGATGCACGTACGAGTGCAGATGACATTTTTATTGAGTTGTCCACTTTGAAACCTGTATGGCTTTGTGAACCATTGTCACCCCCGATAAATTCAATTTAAAAAATAAATAATAATAAATAAAATATACTCATAATACTCCTTGTAAAGGGTGCTGAAGCATTTTTATTGTTAGAAATACACGATCAAAAAAATTTGACAACACATTTAAACAATAAAACAATGAAAAATGCCAAAGTATTCATGAAGTAAATAATTTATTTCAAGGGCTTGAACAATTAAGGCAGAGCCTTGAGTTCATTTGGCCCAAAGCAATGATCCTAGAAGACCATGTTACTCCTTACATGGTGGTCCTCAACCCTGACTATACATTAGGGAATTTGTCCTAAGGGCTGGAGCAAACACACAGAATATGGAAATTCCATGTCTTCAATGCCTAAAATGAGTTCTTTGTCAACTACAATATGATATGCAAGGATAATCTAATCTGACCTAAAAAGAGGTCACAAGAGTCATTGAGAACAGTATTAAAAGTGTGGATGTGTGCTGTATGATAACTAGCCAGGGCCTGAATGAGCAGCAATGTATGTGCATTGTGCCTGTGTGCAGTGTGAGTATTATCTGAAGTCAAGTGTTGAAATAAACTAAACTTACAATCAGACCCTGAATTAGTAAATTTTGCATTATTAATATAATACAATTAATATTACTTCAAAATATTTTAATTTCTTTTATTTTATATTTTATAATATGGAACCATAATACAGCAAAACAGAAGATATATATGAAATGAATAAATTAGTATTCATATAG